CCGATTGACTTACTTCACTCAGCATAATACCCTCCAGTTCCATCCACGTTGAAGCAAATGGTGGGTATTTGTCGTTTCTAATGGGTCAGTAATATTCCATTGTATACATAGACCACACCTTCTTTATCCATTCATCTTTCGATGGGAACTGAGGCTCCTTCCACATTTTGGCTATTGTGGACATTGCTGCTAGAAACATCGGGGTGCAGGTGTCCCGGCGTTTCATTGCATCTGAATCTCTGGGGTAAATCCCTAACAGTGCAATTGCTGGGTCGTAGGGCAGATCTATTTTTAACTCTTTGAGGAACCTCCACACAGTTTTCAGAGTGGCTGCACCAGTTCACATTCCCACCAACAGTGTAAGAGGGTTCCCTTTTCTCCGCATCCTCTCCAACATTTGTTGTTTCCTGCCTTGTTAATTTTCCCCATTCTCACTGGTGTGAGGTGGTATCTCACTGTGGTTTTGATTTCTATTTCCCTGATGGCAAGTGATGCCGAGCATTTTCTCATGTGCGTGTTGGCCATGTCTATGTCTTCCTCTGTGAGGTTTCTCTTCATGTCTTTTGCCCATTTCATGATTGGATTGTTTGTTTCTTTGGTGTTGAGTTTAATAAGTTCTTTATAGATTTTGGAAACTAGCCCTTTATCTGATATGTCATTTGCAAATATCTTCTCCCATTCTGTAGGTTGTCTTTTAGTTTTGTGGACTGTATCCTTTGCTGTGCAAAAGCTTCTTATCTTGATGAAGTCCCAATAGTTCATTTTTGCTTTTGTTTCTTTGCCTTCGTGGATGTATCTTGCAAGAAGTTACTGTGGCCGAGTTCAAAAAGGGTGTTGCCTGTGTTCTCCTCTAGGATTTTGATGGAATCTTGTCTCACATTTAGATCTTTCATCCATTTTGAGTTTATCTTTGTGTATGGTGAAAGAGAGTGGTCTAGTTTCATTCTTCTGCATGTGGATGTCCAATTTTCCCAGCACCATTTATTGAAGAGACTGTCTTTCTTCCAGTGGATCATCTTTCCTCCTTTATCAAATATTAGTTGACCATAAAGTTCAGGGTCCACTTCTGGGTTCTCTATTCTGTTCCATTGATCTATGTGTCTGTTTTTGTGCCAGTACCACACTGTCTTGATGACCACAGCTTTGTAGTACAACCTGAAATCTGGCATTGTGATGCCCCCAGATATGGTTTTCTTTTTTAAAATTCCCCTGGCTATTCGGGGTCTTTTCTGATTCCACACAAATCTTAAAATAATTTGTTCTAACTCTCTGAAGAAAGTCCATGGTATTTTGATAGGGATTGCATTAAACGTGTAAATTGCCCTGGGTAACATTGACATTTTCACAATATTAATTCTGCCAATCCATGAGCATGGAATATTTTTCCATCTCTTTGTGTCTTCCTCAATTTCTTTCAGAAGTGCTCTATAGTTTTCAGGGTATAGATCCTTTACCTCTTTGGTTAGGTTTATTCCTAGGTATCTTATGCTTTTGGGTGCAATTGTAAATGGGATTGACTCCTTAATTTCTCTTTCTTCAGTCTCATTGTTAGTGTATAGAAATGCCACTGATTTCTGGGCATTGATTTTGTATCCTGCCACGCTACCAAATTGCTGTATGAGTTCTAGCAATCTTGGGGTGGAGGCTTTTGGGTTTTCTATGTAGAGTATCATGTCATCGGCGAAGAGGGAGAGTTTGACTACTTCTTTGCCAATTTGAATGCCTTTAATGTCTTTTTGTTGTCTGATTGCTGAGGCTAGGACTTCTAATACTGTGTTGAATAGCAGTGGTGAGAGTGGACATCCCTGTCTCGTTCCTGATCTTAGGGGAAAGGCTCCCAGTGCTTCCCCATTGAGAATGATATTTGCTGTGGGCTTTTCGTAGATGGCTTTTAAGATGTTGAGGAATGTTCCCTACACTGTGAAGAGTTTTGATCAGGAATGGATGCTGTATTTTGTCAAATGCTTTCTCTGCATCTAATGAGAGGATCATATGGTTCTTGGTTTTTCTCTTGCTGATATGATGAATCACATTGATTGCTGTACGAGTGTTGAACCAGCCTTGTGTCCCGGGGATAAATCCTACTTGGTCATGGTGAATAATTTTCTTAATGTGTTATTGGATCCTATTGGCTAGTATCTTGTTGAGAATTTTTGCATCCATGTTCATCAGCGATATTGGCCTGTAATTCTCCTTTTTGGTGGGGTCTTTGTCTGGTTTTGGATTTAAGGTGACGCTGGCCTCATAGAACCAATTTGGAAGTACTCCATCTCTTTCTATCTTTCCAAACAGCTTTAGTAGAATAGGTATGATTTCTTCTTTAAACGTTTGATAGAATTCCCCTGGGAAGCCATCTGGCCCTGGACTCTTGTGTCTTGGGAGGTTTTTGATGACTGCTTCAATTTCCTCCCTGGTTATTGGCCTGTTCAGGTTTTCTATTTCTTCCTGTTCCAGTTTCGGTAGTTTGTGGCTTTCCAGGAATGCGTCCATTTCTTCTAGATTGCCTAATTTATTGGTGTAGAGCTGTTCATATACTTAAACTTTAAAGAAAACATTACTGTTTCCACAGTGGCTGCATCATTTTATATTCCTACCAATGGTGTACAAGAATTTCAAATTCTCTACAACTTATGGAACACTTATTTTCTGATATTTTTGTATTATATTTTGTTTTGCTTTGTTTTGATTTTGATAAAAGCCATTCATTTGAAGGAATGAAGGGTATCTCACTGTGGTTTTGAATTTCATTTTTTCTAATGACTAGTGAAGTTCAACATCTTTTCATGTAAACATTCTCACCATTTGAATATCTTCTTTGGACAAATGTCTTTTCCAGTTCTTCGTCCATTTTTAAATTGGGCTTTTTGTTATTTTGTTGTTGAATTATAGGAGTTCCTTATATATGCCGATTATTAATCCTTTATGAGACATACACTTTGCAAATATTTTCTCCCATTCTGTGAGTTGTCTTTTCACTTTTGATATTGTCCTCTGCTGCAAAAATTCTTAAATTTTGGTGAAGCCCCATTTATGTGTTTTTTTTTTATTTTGTTATGTATGCTTTTGGTGTCATGTCCAAGAAATCATTGCCAAATCCAATATCATGAGTTTTACTTACAGTTTTTTCTCAGAATTTTATAGTTAAGTTTTTACATTTAGATCCCTTCATCCAACTCGAGTTCATTTACTTATACAGATAGGGTGAGGGTTCAACTTCATTCTTTATATATGGATACCCAGTTTTCCCAGAATCTTATGTAGAAAAGATTATTCTTTTTTTGGGGGGGGGGTTAGTCAGTCTAGCTAAAGTTTTGTCAACTATGTTGGTCTTTCTGAAGAACTACTCCAGGGCTTCCTAATTTTCTCTGTTGCTTTCTATTCACATTGTAGTTATCTCTACACTAGTCCTTTTAGTTTCCTTTATTCTGCCAGCTTTTGGGTTTGGGGTTTATTTTTCTCATATTTTTCTGATTTATTAAGATGATAGTTGTTAATAAATTTGTGATCTTTCCTTTCTTTAAGTGTAGACATTACAATTATAAATTTCGGGGATCCCTGGGTGGCGCAGCGGTTTGGCGCCTGCCTTTGGCCCAGGGCGCGATCCTGGAGACCCGGGATCGAATCCCACGTCGGGCTCCCAGTGCATGGAGCCTGCTTCTCCCTCTGCCTATGTCTCTACCTCTCTCTCTCTCCCTGTGACTATCATAAATAAATAAAATAAAAAAAATTAAAAAAAAATTTACAATTATAAATTTCCCTCTAGTGCTGATTTCACTGCAAACTGGCATGTTCTCTTTCCATTTTCATTCATGTAAAGGTATTCTGTAATTTCCCCTGTGATTCCTTCTTGGCCCTTTTGATTTTTTTAAGAGTGTGTTGTTTTATTTCAATATATTTAAGAAATCCAATTTCTTCTTCTCCGTCCAGGAGATGAGTGTGGTCAACACAACAATGGTCCTCAAAAGACATTCATATCCTAATACCCAAAACTTGTGAATAGTTTTAAACAGCAAAAGAAATTTTGCAGGAATGATTAACTTAAGACTCTTGACATGAGGCAATTATCCTAATTCATCAAAGTGGCCCTGGTATATTCACAAGGGTCCTTTTAAGAAGGAGGCAGGAAAGTCAACATTAGAGAAGGACAAGAGACAATAAAGGCAAAATTTAGAGTGATAGGAAAGATGGAAACAATAAGTAAAGAACGTAGGCAGCTTCTAGAATTTGGAAAAGCAAGGAACAGCCCTCCAGAAGAAATGCAACCTGGCTAACCCTTGATGTTAGTCCAGCCACACCAATTTTGGACTCTAGATCTCCAGAATTATAAAATACCACATATATGCAGTTTCCAGGCACTATCTTTTTAATAATTTGTACAGCAGCATTTGGAAACTAATATAACATGATTGCACTATGGGGGGGGGAATCCTAGAGATTTGAAACACTGTTTTGTTTCTCATTTAAATTACCTGTTCCTTGTGTATTGGAAGCTGTACCACCACTGCCACTCAAGTATACGGACTAATGAAGGGACCCCAGCATGTGGATGTGCATGTGGAAGAGGAAGCTGATCCATAGAGGTTCTTGAAGTTAAATGCACAGCCCAGAAGATATATCCATCCCTTCAGCTCACACACAGTGGTCTAAGGAGGTATTATGGTCCCACTGAGTGCAAGGGACCAGAAAGTGCAATACTCCATGTGGCTGGAAATGGACAACCAGAAATATTTGGTGAAACATGATGCTTTCAGTGAGTGATGAGGCACTCAGACGTGCTGTGTGCCACATCACTGAGTCTCTCTGTCCCTTAGTTTCTTCATTTGTGATAGGGTCTCACCTTATAGGCTCATTGTGAGGGTCACATGCCATGTATGTGCAATGCGCTGAGTCAAGGCCTGCTCACGGGGTGCACTCAATCAATGAGCTGCTATGAATAAACCCTTGAGGAAACATGCAGGATCACATAAGGATGGATAAATACTGCTTTGTTTCCCCTCCAGATGTGGCAGGTGAGGTGGAGCTACAGGTGATCCAGCCTGAGAAGTCAGTGTCTGTTGCAGCTGGACAGACTGCCACTCTGTACTGCACCCTGACCTCTATGCTCCCCACTGGGACGGTTAAGTGGTTCAGGGGGACAGGGCCAGGCCGACAATTAATCTTCAGCTTCAAAGGAGGCCACTTTCCCCGAATAACAAATCTTTCAGATGTCACAAAGAGAAACAACATGGACTTTTCCATCCGCATCAATAACATCACTCCAACAGACACGGGAACCTACTATTGTGTAAAGTGCCAGAAAGGAAACCCCGATGTGGAGTTCAAGTCTGGACCAGGCACTCAGGTCACTGTGAGTGGTGAGTATGGCATGACATCCTTCCTCCCCTGGTTGTGACAAGTCAATAAGAATGTCCTCCCTCCATTGTCTGAGTAACAGCTAAGAATCAGGTGTTGTAGTGGGTGCCCCTGATTTCAGCCCCTTCCACAGATCAGAGAAGTTGAGGTCTAGAGATGTTATGCTATTTGCTCAAAGTGCCCCACTGGGAAAACAGTGGGAAACTCTAGAATCCCAGGCTGAGGGCTCCACAGCTCTTACCTTTTCCAATCCTGACCAGCCCTCTGGTTCCAGGGATAAGGGAATGAAAGTCTGAGTGACTTGTCTAGTCACCAGGTCTGACCTCAACCCTGGCTCCAGAGAGAACTCCCCTCAATATATTACTGTTCTCTTTACTCAGCACTTATTGAGCACCTGCTGTGTGCAGGCTCTGCTCTGGGTGCTGGGGAAGCAGCAGGGAACAAAACAGGCAAGAGCTTCTCTCTCATGAAGCTTAAGTTCCCTTCCCTTCTGGTGAGGACATATGCACCCAGGGCAGAGACGTGGGTCAATGTCTTTGTTACAGCTTCAGAAAAATCAGTGAGAAGAGGCACAGGCTCACTGTTTACTCTGACAGCCCAGGTTGGAGAAGATGCCAGATTTTGGGCCTTTGCATGAGTCTGTCCAGAAAATCCTCAGCCGTTTACTGACTGACTATACAACAGCAGCTGAGTCTCCCCACAGCCTCTGAACATAGGCAGGGAACGTGGTTTTATCCTGATGGTGCAGGTATTACAGAAGTTCCCAGTGGTATATCCCTTGCCAGGCACCACAGTTAGTACATGGCTCCACCGCCAGGCAAATTTGTGCTTCTGAGGCACTCCTTCCTCTTCCCCAATCTGCCCAGATGGTGTTGCCCTAGATGGGAATGGATGGAGACAGTGGGGCCATCTCAGCCCCTTTTACAGGTGAGGACACTGAGGCTCAGGAAACCTAACCTGAGCAGGCAGAGGAGACAAGATTTAACCCAAGTAGCCTGACTCACAGCCTTGTTCTTTGCACAATCACTGTGCTGGTCAGAGTGGGAGAAAATTCTAACTTTTCTCCTGAAAATCTTGTATTGTTCTCTTTTTCAGCAGCAGGAATTTTTTTTCCCGCCCCTCAGCATTAGGAATTTTAAAACAATATGAGAGGTAGCTTTGCACCCCCAGATCAGACAGATACACTTACATCTCATGAATTGTTAACCCTGTTGCTTGAGGACATGGTTTATCGCACCCAAGAGCATCAGGAGTCTTTCCCATTGTGTAATGTTGTTCCTTCACTGAGAAGCCTGGGACAGTAGCTTAGACAGAGCAGAGGAGCCACTACAATCCCAGCAATACTGGGCATCCCATTCATGGCTCTGCAGACTGGGATGATTGGGAGACACATCCTGGAGGGTGTCTGGGGCCCCATGAGCAAAAGAGTTCATATTCTAGACTCAGCTATAGGGACCCCACATCTTTCCTCTGTTGCTGGAGGGTCAGCAGGTCTGGACACCAAGAGGGACTCTCATCATAACTGCTTACAGGGGAGAATGTCAGAAGGACAAGGAAGGTAGAGGTCACTGTTGGGCTGGGAAGTTAGGACACTTACTCTGTTGTGGACAAGAAGACTGGAGGTCATAGGAAGTCCCCCCAGGAATGCAGGGGTAGGAGTAATCACTTTGTAGCTGGATCAAAGTAGTTTGGCTCCTTGGTGAGGTATAGACAGACTAGCCCAGGGGAGTTCCCTTAAAAAGTTGCCTTTATTTGTACAGATAAGGAGATCACAGGGAGTGATTTCCAAGGCCATGACCCCAAACGTCAAGCAGGCTCCATTTATTAGGGTTTGAGATCAATATTCAGAGAGGGATTTAACATTATAATGAAGCTGACTTAACTGTCAGCCACATTCTGATTTTTCTGTTCCTTTCATCTGCATCTCCATGTTAAATTCCAAACAACTACATCATTGCCTCACTTGCCCCTCACTGCAACCCCAGGGAAAGAGAAATGCCTGCTGTCCCATTTCACAGATGGGGGAGCTGCGCTGTGCCATGTCCACACCTCTGGTCAGCCAGCCAGCCTGGTTCTATCATCCATGGGGTCCTGCTCCACCCCTGCTTCCCCTGTAAGGAAGGAGGTTTCCAGGGAGGCAGCGAGAAACCCTGGATACCAAGAGTGAGAGCCATCAGAAATGTCCTTCCTGTGCCCAGATTGCTGGGAAGTCACCTGGCAGAGGAGAGAAGGGACTCTGAACTCAGGCCTGGAACTGCACCTGAGCCCCTGGGCCCAACTCACAGTTCAGCTCTGGAAACATGTGTCCTCCTCTGTGTGATGAGGAGATGACACCGCCCTCCTCACACTATCAGGAGGGCTGAGGCTTCTCCACAGTGTCATACGTGTGGTTAGTGCTGTGGACTACCGTCATGCTTACTGTTCATTGATGCTCCTCTTGTAGCCAAACCCTCTCCCCCCGTGGTGTCTGGCCCCACGGCCAGGGCCACGCCTCAGCAGACAGTTTGCTTCACCTGCAAGTCTCACGGCTTCTCCCCCAGAAGCATCACCCTGAGATGGTTCAAAAACGGGAATGAACTGACAGCCTCTCAGACCACTGTGTACCCAGAGGAAGACAACGCTTCCTACAGCATCTCTAGCACAACCAAGCTGGTGCTGGCCTCGGGAGACGTTCGCTCCCAAGTCATCTGCGAGGTGGCCCACGTGACCCTACAGGGGGGCCCTCCTCTTCGTGGGACTGCCAACTTGTCTGAGGTCCTCCAAGGTAGATCCCCTTCATCCCCAGTCCAATCCCAGGTCTGGCCCTCAAGCCTAGGAGCCTGCCGCTCCCCCACTCTGCTCCAGGCCTTCCATTGCCTGGAGTCTGACGCCTGACAGACCCTCCCAGTCACCCTGCACCTAGATGTACACTCACCTCCCCTGTTTCCATGGCAGCAGCCTGGTAAACACCTACCATGTGCCAAGCACTATGCTAGGCAGTCTGATTTGCTTTACCATAGTGCTTCCAATTATTGAGCACCTGCTGTAATCCAAGCCACCGCATGCTTAGTGATTTCATTTGTTTTGCTACAGTTACTCTGTTTTAACTGTATGCCAGGGGCTTGCAGTGTGTCTTGATTTCACTCATTCTTGCCCAATAGGAGCTATCGGTCCTTGAGCTCCTACTGTGTGCCAGGCACTGTACTTAGGGATGTCATTCATACGCAAAGACTGCCCTCAGTCTTTGAGCACCAGCTGCGTGCCTGGCAGTTTTCTGGGTGATTCCCTTGCTGTGTGGTGGGAGCTAAGTACTCAAGCCCCTCCCCTGTGATGTGTCTGTTCCATAAGGTCAGAGCTTCTGCTCTGTGCTGTTTCAGTTCCGCCCACCTTGGTGGTTGCCCAGAAATTCGTGGCAGGGGATCAGGTGAATGTCACTTGTGAAGCCAAGAAGTTCTACCCACAGCATCTGCAGGTGACTTGGTTGGAAAATGGAAACATGTCCCAAACAGAAACAGTCTCGAGCTTCATAGAGAACAAGGATGGGACCTTTAACTGGATGAGCTGGCTCCTGGTAAATTTATCTGTCCACACCGATGAAGTGGTGCTCACTTGTAAGGTGCAGCATGATGGGCAGCGGGCAGTTGCCAAAAGCTGTATACTGGAGACCTCTGCCCACCAAAAGGACCAATGCAGAGATAAAAACGTTGGTGAGACTCAATGCCAGGTGACCTGGTATTTAAATTTTATCTTTTCTTTTTTTATGTGAAACTTAACAATTCATGCTTAGACTATTCCAGAAGTCTATAAATACAAAGTAAAATGTGCACTGTGTTCCCTTCCCCCAAAGCCCACATGCCAAGAATGACCACAGGTAAGAGTTTGGTACATATCTTTATAGATCTTTTGATATAAACACACATTAGAGAAAGAAAGAAGAGGAGGAGGGAGATGATCCTGTTGTTAGTGTCCTACCTCCTGCTCCCTCACCTGACAAGGATTATGTCAGGACACAGGCCAGCCACCCCCTCTTCCTGCTCTTTCTTACCTGGGTCTGGTCTCTATCCCATCTAGACCTTTTCATCTTCAACCCAGCAAACATCTCTTAAAACTAGAAGTATTCAGAAGTTGCATCATTTTGTCCACTACTGGATGCACATCTAGTTGCAAATAGAGTCCATAATTGTGTGCTCATGTGATTGATGACATTAGTTTTTCTACAAAACCAACACCATTACATAATATGAAAAATTAACAATAATTCCCTAATAGCATCTAAAATGGAGTATATATTCAGACTTTCCAAAATGTTTACTGTAACTTCATTTTGTACACCTACCTTGCTTTTAATTCATCTGTTAATGCTTCAAAGAATATTCCTGTGAAGCACCTGGGCCTCCACAATTCTTTTGCTGATTTGAAAAGAATCTGAATACCTAGAGCTACTCGAATTCATTTCATATTGGATGGTCATGGCAGGCTGTGCTCTTGAGGAATTTGGTCCATTTTTCTCTGAGTTATCATATTTCTGCCCATACATTGCTCATAATATTACCTTGTTATCCTTTACACATCTGTAGGGTCTGTAGTGATTTCTTATTTCATTCCTAATATTAGAAATGTGTCATTTCTCATTGTGTTCATTGTCAGAATTGCTAGAAAGTTTTCAATTTTATCAGTCTTTTCAAAGAATGTACTTTTGTTTCAATGATTTTCTATATTGATTCTGTTTTCTATTTTATTGCTTTTCTCCTCTTTCTTACCCCCTTTTGCTTGATTTCTGTTTAATTTGCTCCTTCTCATTTTTTGAAATGAGAACTAAGATTATTGATACTAGACTTTACTTTGTCCAAATGGCACACCTGAGTTTCCTTCTGTGCCCAGGGAGTCAAGAGTGTGGAGACAGGATACTTAGTGTTGTGTTCTTCCTCCAGTCTGCAAGCACCTAGCCTGCCTGCCTTGCTCTTCCACCTTTCAGAACCCTTCTATGCTTGGACCTCATGTGATTTCCAGAGATCAGGCTTGTACTGAACAAGGAAAGAGAAGTTCATCTTCTCTGAGGGGCTTAGGTTTAGTTTTCAGTCTTTGTCTTGCACAGAGCTAAGACCAAGGATGTTATTCTGGTGCTTCCAGTGTCCCTGAACTAGCAAGCTTGCTAGTGTGCTAAGCCTGTAAATAGATTATAGGATTGTCTGGGTTGGCATACTGGAGCCAAGTGCAAGATGCCTATGTGACCCTGCTGTACAAAGATGCTACCTCCCCTGGGCATCCCAAGTCTCTGACCACTGCCATCATGGGTCCAGTGGGTCTGGTGTAAAGATGCACATCTTTGGGGCAGTCCGGGTGGTTCAGTGGTTTAGTGCCTCCTTGAGCCCAGGATGTGATCCTGGAGACCAGAGATCGAGTACCACAACAGGCTCCCTACATGGAGCCTGCTTCTCCCTCTGCCTATGTCTCTGCCTCTCTCTGTGTGTCTCTCATGAATAAATAAATAAAAACATTTTAAAAATATGCACATCTTTTTTGTTCATGTTATGGTATTTTACAATACTTTTACCTGAAAAGAATTCCCTTCTCTCAGCATAGCATGACCGAGTATGTTACTGTAGCTTGAGGCTAGATGGTTTGTTTGGACAGTGGGAGAGAGGTTCTGAGTCCTCTGATCTTTCTTCTTCTTTCAGGACCCCATGTGTGCCTCCCACATTTTCCTTTATCCCTTCACCACTCAATTTTGAAACTGCACCTCTTCCTTCTTTTTTGCCTTTCCCCCAAAAAATATGCATTTTAAATCATGCCTGTCTCTTTTATTCACATCTATCCTTTTTAAATGTCCCTGCCTCCTTGTATTAGGTTCCTATTGCTACTGTAATAATTAGCACACATTTAGTGGCTTAAAACAACACACATTCATTATCTTCCATTTCTAGAGGTTGTAAAGTCTAAAATGGGGTGGGGGGGGAGGCAGGACTCCGTTCCTTCTGGGGGCTCTAGGGAAGAGTCTGTGTCCTTAGTGTTCCAACTCTTAGAAACAGCCTTACTCCTCTGCCAAGGCCCCTGCATGCACTGACCTCTTCTGTGGTCATCACACCACCTGCTCCCACTCTCCTACCTCCCTCCTTCACTTGGTAGAGTCCCTGCAATTAAGTTTTCTTTACCTCCCATAGTCCAAGATAATGACTCACTCAAGACTCTAGCTAATTACCATGTAGTCTCTCTTGCAGTATAAGGTACCATATTCACAGACTCTAGGAGTTCTGAGCCAACCCTCTTGAGTCAGGCATATTTTGAACCCCTTTATATGATCTGTGTCCATATCTGCAGAACATATTTCCAATATTTTCTAATTTAAGCTGGATTTAGCATTGCTGGCGAGATTTCCAAATAACTCTCAGGCTCCTTGACTGTCTACTCTTGTCTGTTTCTCCTGCCCTTTCCTGTGGCTGGTGAAGGTAAGAGGGCAATGACTTAAGGTATTGTGCATTTGAATTTCACAAATTTTTCTCTATTGTCTCCTGGAGATTTTGCAGTTTGCGCATTGCTCCTCAATGACTACTGAAAGCAGTTTTCCATAGAATTTAGTGTTTTTTTCTCTATTGTCTCCTGGAGATTTTGCAGTTTGCGCATTGCTCCTCAATGACTACTGAAAGCAGTTTTCCATAGAATTTAGTGTTTTTTTTCTCTATTGTCTCCTGGAGATTTTGCAGTTTGCGCATTGCTCCTCAATGACTACTGAAAGCAGTTTTCCATAGAATTTACTGTTTTTTTATTGGGTTTTGTGTGTGTGTGTGTGTGTGTGTGTGTGTGGCGGGTGTGGGGGGACGTGGGGGGTGGTTGAGAGGCCATATTTGGACACAAATAGCTATGCTTCTGCCTTGTCCTCAGCAGCTCACAAGTGCCCTGAGGGCTTTGAATGCTTTAGCCCTAATGTTCCTATCCCACATCTCAGTATCTATTCCCATATTTCCACATCATGGCTCTATTCTGGCAGAGCAGGTGCACTGTAACTGAGAGTTCAATCCTCTCTACAGTACTGATGCTTATGAGTATGTCAGACCCAATTATGTACTCAAGCTTTTTCTACCCTCCAGCTCTAAGAGGCAATAGTCTACAGTGTTGCCCAGAAGTCCTCTGATGTTTACACATAACCTTTCATGTGTGATCAGTTGGTCTTCAGGTTGTACTGTCTTTCTGCGAAGGATTGATGCCCAGCAATAGCCATTCCACCTGTAGTTCTTATAATTACCAACGCATTTCCAGAATACCAGGGTACTCCCCTGTTCTGCTTACACTGTCCCAGGACAACACAGTGAGGTTTCAGCAGTGACAATAGCAGGGCTAGCTGGGACTTACCTTTCTACCTTCCACAAGAGCTGGGGGCTTCTTGGCCAGCCAACTGATAGAGACCCAAGTTCAAATCTGCACATTAGAGAGGGCTTTTCAGATCCCTCCCAGACAAACTCCACATGTCAGGTGCCCTGGGAAGCAGACTATAAGATGCTATTAGAAAGGGAAATTCTCTATGGAGTGCTCCCTGATCCACATGCATGAGAAAGAGGAGGCAGAACTGGCAAAGGGAGATGTTGAACACAGTGCAGCACAACAAACATGGCTTTGGACAGATTGCTGGCTAACTGTATGCTCTTTGTGAGTTGTTTTAAATGTAATGAAAGACCTAAACCTCTATACTCCCACTTCTACCAGTCCTCTAATGCGGGCTGCCCTCTAGAAGCAGGTGCAAAGTGGGCAATGCAATTCTTTCACAGAGAAAGCCCAGAGGGCCACCCAGCTGAGGCCTGCCATCCTACAACAACCCAGGGGCAAATATGGTGAGGTCTCTGCTCCTTCCTTTAAGATTATCCCATATATTTCAAAAAAATATTTAAATTTCTTTATGTAAGTAAAAAGCAAAATCTGGTCATCGTAAAACAAATCTTTTTTTTTTGTATATTTTTTTATTGGCGTTCGATTTGCTAACATATAGCATAACACCCAGTGCTCATCCCATCAAGTGCCCCCCTCAGTGCCCATCACCCAGTCCCCCCATCCCCCCACCCACCTCCCTTTCCACTACCCTTTCGTTCATTTCCCAGAGTTAGCAGTCTCTCATGTTCTGTCTCCCTCACTGATATTTCACACTCACTTTCTCTCCTTTCCCCTTTATTCCCTTTCACTACTTTTTATATTCCCCAAATGAATGAGACCATATAATGTTTGTCCTTCTCCAATTGACTTACTTCACTCAGCATAATACCCTCCAGTTCCATCCATGTCGAAGCAAATGGTGGGTATTTGTCGTTTCTAATGGCTAAGTAATATTCCATTGTATACATAAACCACAGCTTCTTTATCCATTCATCTTTTGATGGACACCGAGGCTCCTTCCACAGTTTGGCTATTGTGGACATTGCTGCTATAAACATCGGGGTGCAGGTGTCCTGGCGTTTCACTGCATCTGTATCTTTGGGGTAAATCCCCAGCAGTGCAATTGCTGGGTCGTAGGGCAGATCTATTTTTAACTTTTTGAGGAACCTCCACACAGTTTTCCAGAGTGGCTGTTCACATTCCCACCAACAGTGCAGGAGGATTCCCCTTTCTCCACATCCTCTCCAACATTTGTTGTTTCCTGTCTTGTTAATTTTCCCCATTCTCACTGGTGTGAGGTGGCATCTCGTTGTGGTTTTGATTTGTATTTCCCTGATGGCCAGTGATGCAGAGCATTTTCTCATGTGCTTGTTGGCCGTGTCTGTCTTCTTTGATGAAATTTCTGTTCATGTCTTTTGCCCATTTCATGATTGGATTGTTTGTTTCTTTGCTGCTGAGTTTAATAAGTTCTTTATAGATCTTGGATACTAACCCTTTACCTGATATGCCATTTACAAATATCTTCTCCCATTCTGTGGTTGTCTTTTAGTTTTGTTGACTGTTTTTTTTTTCTTGCTGTGCAGAAGCTTTTTATCTTGATTAAGTCTCAATAATTCATATTTGCTTTTGTTTCCCTTGCTTTCATAGATGTATCTTGCAAGAAGTTGCTGTGGCCAAGTTCAAAAAGGGTGTTGCCTGTGTTCTCTTACAGGATTTTTTTCTTTTTTCTTGTTTTTTTTTTTTTTTTTTAGATTTTATTTATTCAGAGACACACACACACAGATTGAGAGAGAGAGAAGAGAGAGAGGGAGAGACAAGGGCAGAGGGAGAAGTAGGCTCCATGGAAGGAGCCCGACATGGGACTTGATCCCAGGTCTCCAGGATCAGGCCCTGGGCTGAAGGGAGACGCTCAGCCACTGAGCCACCCAGGGATCCCTCTTCTCTAGGATTTTGATGGAATTTTTTTTTTAAGATTTTATTTATTTATTCATGACAGACACAGAGAGAAAGAGAGAGAGATAGAGAGGCAGAGACACAGGCAGAGGGAGAAGCAGGCTCCATGCAGGGAGCCCGATGTGGGACCCGATCCCGGGGCCTCAGGATCACACCCTGGGCTGAAGGCAAGTGCTAAACCACTGGGCCACTGGGGCTGCCCAATTTTGATGGATTTTTGTCTCACATTTAGATCTTTCATCCATTTTGAGTTTATCTTTGTGTATGGTGTAAGAGAATGGTCTAGTTTCATTCTTCTGCACGTGGCTGTCCAATTTTCCCAGCACCAAAGGCAACAAATCTTAAGCTAGGCTTCCAGATCCAACTTTCTGTGCTCAACAGAAAAATGTCAACTGATGTTGGCACTAGCGTCGAGATGGGCAGGATGGGTTTTGAACACCTCCCCCCAAATATTAGACCCCATTTCCTTGCCTCTCCAGGATATTATCCAAGAGCAGGTCTGATGAGGTCAGGCGACCATGAAGCCTCCCTCAGCACTTGAGTGCATGGATTCATCAAGCCCCATGCATGGAGCAAAGCAGGAAGCCTTGCACCTTTCTCACCATGACACCTGTCCTCACTCCACTCAAGGTCAGGCTGACATTTATTTCCATGATCCTAAGAGTTTGGACTTATTTTGGCCCAAAGACAAAGTCTGAGTCATCCTGTAGGACAGCAGTGAGGGACTCCCTGGGTTTGAATCCACTCATCTTATGACCCTCTCTAAATTATGAGCCTGTTCCTTCACCAGAAAGAGGATATAGGATCGGGCCCATAGGTCCTGGGGAACAAGTAAACCATGTGTGCATGTTACTAGGCACTCATTCTCCCTACCTCTTCCCTCAAGAAGGCAGCCTGAGAAAAGATTAACAAAATGGGGAACTTCTTATCCCAAATTCTGCCTGAGTCTGACTGCAGGGAAGATTCATGACCTTTAGAGAATTGATGAAGCCAGTCACCTCAGATGGAGTAAGTGGAGGCTCGAGGGAATGGACTCCTGGGTGCCCCATCTAATGTGTCTCTGGTCCATTCATTTTCAGACCCAAAGCTATCTCCTCTACTTCTGGTGATTGTCTTCCTGGGCCCCAAGCTGCTGCTGCTCATCACTGTCTCTGCCACTTATGCCCACAGGAAGCAAGGGCTTGACTATGAGTTTGTAAATAAAACTTGAACCATGTGTTGGGAGACTAATGTTATTTAACTGATCTGTGGCAACTGACATCAGCACCATGCAAAGTGAAAACTGCCTATGTGTGTTTGTCTCGTCCTCAAATAGGATGTTGACTCTGACAGAGAAAGGACTATCTGTGTCCTCAGTTGCCAGAACAATGACTGCCATGTGTTAGGTCATCACATTATTTAAAATAAATTGTCGACTACTTCTTTGAAAACATGTTTCTATTAAATATCGATTTTAAAATAAAATTTCTTCATTCCATCACGTGGTGCATGTATCTAAAACCATTTTGCTAAATAATACTCTTTTAGGAGCTTAAAAATTCTCATAAACCATATCAGAAAACCATATTATCCAGAGTGTAAGCAAGTGGAATTTAAAAAAAATAAATAAATCACTGATTGGAGTATGTCAAACAAGCACAAGAATAACCTGGAAGAGCCCTCAATGGCCAAACTACAACATTTTGAGCAACAAAGAAGTAAAATAGTGTCTGGCTCTTCCATGCCCTAAATGTTCTTGTCCTCACAAAATTGAGTTTTGGAATTCTCAAGCCCACATCATGGTGTTAGAAGGTGGGGGCCCCTGGAAGGTGAGCAGGTCATGAGTGCTCCACCCTCATGAGTGGGATTAGCCCTTAAAAAAGAAACCCCCTGAGAGCTCCCTAGCCCCCCTTCTACCGTGTGAGGACACAATCAGAAATCCATATAGGACCCTCTCCCAACCAGATAGGCCGCCTGATATTGGACTCCAGCCTCCACAACAGTAAGCAAGAATTTATTTATAAGCAACCCGGGCGGGATATTTTGTTATAGCTGCCTGAGTTGGCTAAGACTGGTTATAGCTTCACACATAAAATAAATATCTTTGAGCCCATATTGATGTAAATAAATAATTGAATAAATAATTGAAAAGAAAAAATGGCCTGTGCAAGAAACTCTGAAATTATTTAAACAGATACTTTACCCTAAGGAAGGGAAACTTAACTGCCCACTCCTGACATCCAGGCTACTTGAGGTGACTCCCTTCCAAAGAGGACAGAATGGGAGGACATATGACAAACATAGCTCAGCCAGGTAATCACAAGTTTGCCAATAGTCATGGATCATGGCCATAGTGTGCACACTGATATAATGTCATGAAAACAGCACTTTTTCTCTTCCTCCCCAAACCCATCACCCCAGTCTGCTTATGAGAAGAGCATCTGACAAATTGAAAAGAGAAACATTCTATGATATACCTGAGTAGCACTCCTCAAAACTGACAGGCCATCAGCCACAAGGAAAGTCAGAGAAGTTGTCACAGCTGAGAGGAGCCTAAAAAGACATGACAAGTAAATATAATGTGGTACGGAATTCTGGAAGACAAAGGGACATGCAGGTAAAAACTAAGGAAATATTTTCTAGACTGAATGTTTGTGTCTCTCCCAAGTTCACATGTTGAAATCTATTCACTAGTGTAATGGGATTTGGAGGTGGGATCATCGATGGATAATGAGGTTGTGAGGGTTGTGAGGGTCCTCATGATAAGAGGCCAGCTCATCCCCACCCCCATTCACCAGGTGAAAATACAAATAGTTGGCAGTCTGCAATCACAAAGAGGATTCTCTTCACAACCCAACTATCCTGGCATGCTGATCTCAGACTTCCAGCCTCCAGGACTGTGAGAAATAAGTTCCTGTTCAAGGCATCCAGTTTGTGATGTTTGTTATAGCAGCCAAAGCTACAACAAAATCTGAATAAACCATGCCCTTTGGTTAATAATAATGTACCAATATGGGTTCATTAATTATCACAGATGCACCAAATTACTGTAAGAGGCTAATAAGAGGAGAAATTGTGTGCAGCTGTATATTGGAACTCTGTACTATTGTCACAATTTTTTTCTAAATGTAAAACTGTTCCAAAAAATTAAGTATATTTTTTAAAATGTCAACATTTTGTCCTCAGCTGGATCTCTGCCTCTTACACCCCCTTCGGGGACAATGCAAAGATGTATGTGGTGACGAGACATTTGTGTTTCTATACTGAGGTTTCAACTCACTTCACAAGTCTGAGGTTCCCTTCTCCTCCTTCCTCTGTCCTCTGACAGAGCTCACTCCAGAGCCAGGCACTCAGAGATCCCAGAAGAAACTGTTTCTCAGTTCCCCATGATATTCATCCTTAATGTTTCCAACTAGTAAAGCGCAAGTTGGTTAGACCAAGTGAGGCGAGAGAACTCTGGGTTCCTGGGTGCAGTGGGGTAGGTTTATTTACTTATTTAAATTTTGTTAGATAAATAAATAAATATAAAAATAAATTTTGTTAGTTAACATACAGTGCAATATTAGTTTCTGGAGTAGAATTCAGTGATACTGGGGGCAGTTAATCCCTGTCATGTGCCCAAGGAACTGAGGTAGAAGGGGCTCTGCAGAGTGGATGCTGTGATGAACCAGGCTTCAGGAGATGGCCCTCAGCTGTCAGCCCTCTTTGGGATGGCCTCCTGAAAAGAGCCTCTATGCCCAAGGTTATGTCTGGGAACTTGCCATATCCAGTGGCTCATCAACATGAAAACGTAAAGGAACAGCCCTCTCACCCCAGCTCAGGACAACTTTAAAGGAACATCCTAGCACCAGAGGTCCATGGAAGATCAGCTGAAGTTTTCTTTGGGACTTCATTGTAACTCAACTTCTTCTAAACAGTTCTGCTCCCCTCTACCATTGGATCCTGAAGTACTCCTTAAAAATAACCTGCTTGTTAATATTTATCTCAGCCCCTATTTCCCAGGGAACCTGATGTGGAAGAGAGGCTGTGGTGGGTACCAGAAAAGATTGGGATCCCTTTGTCTGTGGGGACCAAGCCAGTCATGGAAGGATGAATTGTTTACACTATCATATACCATATACCACATACCATATACAATAAATCACATACTATATGCCATACACCATATATCATCATACAGCAAACAGTCTTAATATAAGGAGCAATGAGAATCCACAGAATTCTTTATACAGAAAAAAGGAATGCACTCAGATCTGTGTTGTAAAAGACCACTCTGGATGAAGTAGAAGGTAGATCTACAGCAGGCAAAAGATTTGAGGATAGCCTATTAAGAAGTATTAGTTATCATTCTAGCAGGAGATGACAATGAACATAGAGACATAGACTTAAGAAGTATTTAGGAGGTAAAATGAACAGGGTCTGGTACAGAGCAGACATGATTTGACAAGAGAGGGTGTAGAACATGGGCCCCTTCTCAGTTTGACCAAGTGGATAGAGGATGTGCCACACACTGAACAGAGTATAAGGGGAGAAGAGAATGTCCGAGTTTTGAATATTTGAGCTATACAAATGAAAATTTCAAGGACAAAGGATATATAGGTCAGCCATCAAGAAGTAGACTCAGGATTGGAACCTAACTTGCATCTGGTTGCAAAGCCAGTGCTCCTGATCAGGGCACTAAAATCCCAGGCTCTGTAGAGTATAGGATCCAATGGAAGGTATGAGGTCTGCTGGAGGTGGAAGGGTAGGATGCTGGAACCTGGAGGAAAGATCCTGTCCAGCCCTCAGCAGGGGCCATGGATGGCCTTCCAGCATGAAATTCATCATTCCAGAACAATGTGATAAGATGGTGACATCACAAGAGGAGAGGAGTCTTGTCATCTCCTACAGGCAGTTTGGGCTTACTATGGACTCTCCTCTTGTTGTAACACCTCTCCTGGCCTTAACATCCTATTGATCTCTGAGAGGAGGCAGGGATCACAAGGAAGCAACAGGAAAATCACCCTAGAGTCAGTGCCTGACAGTAGACTTGTGGACATCAGAGGGTCACCAGCTGAGTGTGGACTGAGAGTCTCACCACAACCTTTGTGCTTGGGTAGAGTCTTTTGCAGAGGTGAGAAAAAAAGAAGCCGAAATTCTGGTTTCTCTCTCTTTCCAAGAGCATTTCTTATGTCCTTCCACTTCCTTCCTCCTGAGCTAGCCCCAACTCAGCATAGACAGCAGAGGCAGCCCTCACCTTTCAAATGTATTTCTAGGTGCATTGCTTTCCATCCTGCAAAGTAGTCCCCCAGCCCCACCTTCCCTGTAGTCCCTTCTATCCTCTAAGACACAAATCATCACCATCTCCTAAGCTCCAATCTCTTTCCCACACCATATCTCTGGGCCTCTAAATTGGCAGAGGTGGTGATCCCTGGGTAGCGCAGGGGTTTGGTGCCTGCCTTTGGCCCAGGGCGCGATCCTGGAGACCCGGGATCGAATCCCACATCGGGCTCCCGGTGCATGGAGCCTGCTTCTCCCTCTGCCTGTGTCTCTGCCTCTCTCTCTCTCTCTCTCTCTCTGACTATCATAAATAAATAAAACTTAAAAAAAATTAAATTGGCAGAGGTGCAAGGGTGAAGAGACCTCAGATGAGAGGAGGCTCAGGAAAGAGCACAAGCCTATAAATGTCATGCTCTTAACTATAGAAAACCAATCATTTCTAGCAGCTACTTATCAGTAGCTTGTGATCACCTTCTCTGTCCATTTGATAATCTCAAAGAAAAAGTGATAAGTCCTGCGGTCTTTCTTCTCATCACAATCCCCTTCCTCTGACCTCATGGAGGCAGGGAGTGTCTTCTCTCCTCAGAGCACAGAGTCCTGGGACCTGCTAGAACAACACTCAGAGAAGGACCAGGCCACCACAATGCCTGTACTTGCCTCCCAAACCTGCCCACTTCTGCCATCCCTGCTGCTGACTCTGCTGCTGAGATTCACAGGTGAGTTGTGTCTCAGATATGTGTGGTAGAGACCCCTATACTTGTTTACTTTTTCTCCTCATCTGTTTCCCTAGAATTTCCTGGGGAGGGGGGAGGTTCTCTATCACAGCCAGAATTTATAGAACTATATTGGAATGGCTTCCAGCTCACAAAATTTCCCAATGGCCAAGTCTGTTCCAGACCCTTTTGTTTGGGAATGGACACCCCTAATGGTCAAAGGGTTGAGAGCTCTCATCTCCTAGCCCCTAGAAACAAAGAACCTACCTTTCAAATGTATTACCACCACACAGGTGCAGTTCTCAACAAAGAAAAACATGTTGGAGAACATGAAATTATGAAGCAAGAAAAGAATCCACAATGTTTCCACCCTAAGATAGTCACTATTAAAAATTTGCAGAAGTTTGTGTGATCATGGAATATTGCTGGGAAGTGGTCACTAGAGGTCTCTCTGGGTCAGTGATGGAAGCTGAACCCTGCAGGCTTGCTGAAACCCTGCTTGCTGAAAAAGCTGAACAAATGTATCTCTTCCCCAAGGCTATTGGTCCATCTTAGCAGAGGCTTTGAGTTCCAATTGCCAGAGTAGATGAAAGAGGAGGGGTTCAAATCAGATGAAAGAGAAAGCCAAGGCTCTTATCTGATATAAGAAAGGAAGAAGAAACCTTGGGTGTTTTAGGAAAGAGTAAAATATATGAAACACCCAGGCCCACTGTAAAATATTAACAAATATTTAAATGGGAATTAATACCAAGTTCATAAATCTCTTCCAGAAAATAGAAGAGGAGGAAACACTTCCCTACTTATTTTATGAGGCCATTATTATTTTGATAGCAAAACCAGATAGACTGTACATAAAAAAGAACTACAGACCAATATCCCTCATGAATCTAAATGCAAGAAATCCTCAACAAAAGGTTGGCAAGTGAAATTTCACAATGTATAAAGTTATATACCATGACGAAGAAGGATTTATTCCAGGCATGCAAAGCTGTTTTAATATTTGAAAATTAATTACTGTAACCCATCACATCAACAAGTTAAAGAAGAAAAATGGCATTATCATATCAGTTGATGCAGAAAAAAAGCATTTGGCAAATCTAACACCCATTCACAATACAAACTCTTAGCAAACTAGAAATAGTGGAGAACTTCCTCAATTTCATGAAGAACATCTACAAAAATTCCTACAGCTATCATTATACTTAATGGTGAAAGACTAAATTTTTTTTTTGTAAGATAAGGACTGAGGCAGGATGCCCCTACTCTAAACTTTTATTCAGCACTGTTCTGGAACTTGTAGGAGAGAGGGACAGGAAGAAAGGAATGGAGGGGAAGGGACAGAAGGGGAAAGGAAAGGAAAGGAAAGGAAAGGAAAGGAAAGGAAAGGAAAGGAAAGGAAAGGAAAGGAAAGGAAAGGAAACTGACTGAAAAGGAGAAATAAAACTTCCTTATTTGCAGATGACATGATTGTCTACATAGAAAATCCCAAAGAATCTACAAAAAAAAAAAAAAGCCTTCTTAGAGTTAATAAGCACATTCAGCAAGGATACAAGATCAACACACAAAAATCAATTGTGTTTCTATATACCAAAAACACACAGGACAATTTACATCATCACCCCCCAAAAAAGAGAAATAGGTATAAATCTCATATTATGTGTAAAAGATCTATATAAAGAAAGCTAGAAAACTGGTTGAAGCAATCAAAAAAGAACTAAATAGAGATACATCCCATATCATGGATGGGAAGACTCAATATTTTCAGGATATCCATTCTTCCCAACTTGATCTAAGGATTAAATACAATCCCAATCAATATGAGCCAATTATTCGATGAATATTGATTAACTGAATCTAAAGTTTATATGGAGAAGTTAAAGATCCAGAATAGCCAACTCAATGTTGGAGAAGAACAAAGTCAGAGGACTCACAACATTTGACTACAAGACTTACTAGAAAGGCACAGTAATCAAAACAGTGGCATTGGTGTGAGAAGAGACAGATCAATGCAACAGAATAGTCCAGAAATAGACCGACATAAATACAGCCAACTGATCATTAGGAATGGAGCAAATATAGTCTTTTCAACAAATGTTGCTGGAGCAATTGGACGTCTGGAAATCTATGTGCAAAAAGAAAAATTGATTCTAGACACAGACCTAACAGCCTTCATAAAAATAACTCACATATAAAACACAAAACTATAAAATGCCTACAAGATATCATAGAAGAAAATCTAGTTGACCTTTGATATGGTCATGATATGACTTTTATATATTGACTTCTTATTTTTTAAAGCAGTTTTAGGTTCACTCCAGAACTGAGCAGAAGGTGCAGAGATTTCCCATAGGACTCCCCACCTCCACACATCACAGCTGCTGCCATTATCAATATCCTCCACCAGTGGTATATTTATTACAAATGATTAACCTACACTGATATGTCATTAACATCCAAAGTCCACAGTTCACATTATGGTTCACTCTTGGTTTTGTATGGGTTTGGACAAAGGTATAGTGATATCCACCTTTATAGCATTATACAGAGTAGTTTTGCTGCCCTAAAAGTCCTCTGCATTCTAAAGTCCTCTGTTTCCACCCTAACCCCTGGCAATCACTTATATATTTACCATCCCATAGTTTTGCATTTTCCAGAATGTCATATAGTTAGCATCATGCAGTATGCAGGCTTTTCCTTTTGATAATTAATAAGCATTTAAGTTCTTTCATACCTTTGCAGGCCTTGAAAGCTCATTTCCTTTAGCAGTGGATAATATTCCACAATCTGCATGTATCACAATTTATTTATCCATTCACCTACTGAAGGTCATCTTGGTTGCTTTCATATTTGGCAATCATAACTAAAGCTGCTATAAACTGTGAGGGGGAATCTGTTCCAGGCCTCTCTCTTAGCTTCTGGTAGCCTCAGACCACAATCTTCAGATTCTAAATGGCCTTCTTCCTGCATCTTCACATCATCTTCCTTCCCTCTGTGCATGACAGCTAAGCTAAACTGTGCCTGAACTCCTGGTCCACAGGAACTATGAAATAATATGTGTTTCCTTAAACTAAGTTTGTGATAATTTGTTATTCAGCACGTTCCCTTGTTTGTATAGCACCTACTATGCTCCAGGCCATTCTCCTATTGTGATGCAGAAGAAAGGTACCTTTCCTCTTTCTGTACGTTGGTCGCCTTTCTCTCATCCCATATGGCAACTCAGTTTGTAATTTTCATATTTTGGCAAGAGTACATGTTGCTAAAAGAGTATGTATGTTGATGTAGAACCAGAACCTCAGAACATCTTGGGCCAAGACAAATAACATGGGAAATGATGCAAAATTTCTTTCCAGGAGCTTCAGATCAAGAGTTCCAGGTGACCCAGCCTGAGAGTTCAATTTCAGTCAGAGCTGGAGAGATCTTAACACTGGGCTGCAACGTGTCTGCTCACTCCCCAGCAGGGCCTGTCTTGTGGTTCAGGGAGAATGGGCAAGAACGACGATTAATCTACAATTTCAATGGAAGCCAATTTCCCCGAGTAACCCAAGTAGAAGACACAGAGTTCAACCAAACAGACTATTCCATCCGCATCCATAATGTGTCACCCAAAGATGTGGGCACCTATTACTGTGTGAAGCTAACAATAGGCCACCCTGACATGTCGTATGTATCAGGTCCAGGCACCTATGTGTCTGTGAATGGTGAGTATAGTCTGACAAACTCCATCCCTTTGGTTTGTAAAAATAAATTTTTAAAAATCTGAAACATGTATAAATCATCATACACACTAGATTCTGTTCCCTTTCAATCACAAACCACCTTTAAGTTAAGATTCTGCAGACGGCCCTACTGATTAACCATTCTTCAGTCCTGTGCCTGATATTGAATCAAGCCATGTTGACAGGCCATGCCCTTCCCTGACAGCCAACTCCACCAAACCAGTGACATATGACAAGGGGAACCCTCACATAAAAAGACACCAAATAGACAAAATGCAACTACAGGTATGCACTTGGTGATCCAAAAAGTGAGAAAAGTGAGACCTAGATGGCTGACTGGCTTTTCTAAGGTCTGGGGGACAATCCTGGCATGAAAGTTATCCATTGAGTCTCTTCTAACTTATGCTCTGAGAACCAATTTTCATTCACTAACCCTTGTAGCCACATCTTATCTCACAGATTTAGGACAAAATCTTAACATGTACTCCCCTAAGTTTGATAATACCTCCTGAGCCAAAACAAAGGGATCCACAGGTTCGCAGAACCTCTACCAGCCTGCACCATTCCACTCACCCATTTCTAACTGGAATGTAATGGGCCCTGGTGGCAGGTCCCTGAGGGCCACCACAATGCAGGCAGGGACCCCATTCCCCACAAAGGAAGCCAGTGAGTGGGTGTGGTCTCCTATTATGGTTTCTGGGGGCCAGAAGACCAGAAAGAGGGATCTCGGATATCACTCATCCCCAGATCTTGTTTGGAAAAGCTGTCCTGGAGGGGTTGAGTCACTCTTCTGGCATTTGATCTTTCCCTGGTCTGCCCTAGTCTACCCCCGCTCTGCTCTCCTCCTCTTCTCTGAGGACAACCAGTGCTTCCTGGTTCTTGCCACTCTCTGAATTCATTTCATCAAATACAGTGAGATCATGTGTCCATCTGTTCTGCTGGGAAAACCAGGAATGTTCTCTTCAAGTCCAGCCACATTCCATGCCACCCAATGGCCATGGGAAATTTACATATTTCCCTCAAGCTGAGATGTGAGAGTGTAGGCAGCTTACTTACCTGCCATTTTCTCCCAGAGTTCCCTTGTTGCTCCAACCCACACCTTAGCCATCATCTGTGGTTTTGACGGTTTGCCAACCTGAAAGGAGAGAGATTACCAGGACCTGACTAATATGGGGGAGTGATGCTGGTGGTAGCAAATGTTGGGGGTCAGTTGTGGGCCCTCCAAAATTAACAAGGTCCCTTGAGGTTCTACTCTTTTTTTGTGGAGAAGAGGAAACTGTCTCTTCCCTCTTGACAGATAAGCAGAGGAAACATACTCTGCCTGCATGAACTTAGTAGTCCCAAATGGCTCCCGATTCTTTAGGCTTGCTGTCTCATGACTTACCCTTTCTCCACACCTCTCAGAATTAATATCTCCATAAGTTCAGTGGCTGCTCACCCTTCAGAAAAGAGATGAATGTCAATCTGAGGTTGGCAGAGGGCACTTGGACCCATCTCCAAGTGCACTGTGTGATTTGGGGCATTTAGATAGGGGAGAGACTAGTGTGTCTCTCCATGAATTCATAATCCCAGCCCTCTCCTTCCCTGTCCTCTTCTTCCCTTGGTTCAGAGCTGAGACATGGACCCGGGAGGAAATACATCTGATCCACTGTACTGACTCCCCTCAGTCAGGTCAGGAGCTTCCACCACCTGCAGAGGCCTCTCTAAATTCAGTGTGTGTATGCTCACACATGTCATTAAATGAAGTCTACCCATGATCTGGATCCAAGTTCTTCAGTCCTGCCTGGGTCAAAGGATGGGAAATGGGAAATGATTTTGTATTTCTTTGCAGGAACCACACATGAGATATTCCAGGTGCAACAATCTGAGATGACACAGACTGTATCAATTGGAGAGACAGTCACCTTGAGTTGCAGTGTACCAGATTCATTCCCAAAAGGACCTGTCTTATGGTTCAAGGGATCTGGGCCAAGCCGGGAATTAATCTACAATTTCAAAGAAGGTCTCTTTCCCAGAGTAAAAGAAATTGGACACATCACCAAAGCTGGCAACACAGACTTTTCCATCCGCATCAGTGATATCTCTCTTGCCGATGCCGGCACTTACTACTGCGTGAAGTTCAAAGAGGGGAAACCTGATAGAGAGTTCCAGTCAGGTCCGGGCACTGAGGTGTTTGTGACTAGTTGAGTTTGTGTCCTCCACCTCCTATCATGAGCTATCATCTCAGTTAACCAATCCTTCATTTGTTGAATTATTAGATAATGCTAAATATTATTGTAGGTGCATTAAACATATGATATGTCATTCTCTCAGCAACCTGTGAGTTAAGTGTTTAACATGAGGAGAAACAGACTCAGAAAGGTCAATTGAGTAATGAGGGATATTTTGGTTGACATCCCAATATTCTCCTAACAGCTAGACTAAACTAAGATAATTTCATGACTCCTTACTAGTGATTAGCTCAAATAAGAGACTGGCTTAAGCCAATTTGTGTCCATAATGAAAAGGACAGACTTGCAGAGAAATCCGGGAAACTAATGCAATTCTCTCTCCTATTGGCTAGGAACAAGCAATCATTTTGCCCCAGGTGATCCAGAGAGCCATCTTATGACCATGAGGGGAACCAAGTTGAGGAAAAATCTACTCTAGTGAAGTGCAAAGATGTAAAGAATGTGGGTTGACAACATTGCACGGCAATATTGTTCCTGGTTCCAACCCCACTTCTGGACCTTCAGTAATGGGAGAGAAAACATCTCCTTGTTAAGCCAGTTTGCTTAAAGTCAGCACTGTCCTAAGGGTTGCCAGGTGATAAAGTTCCCACATCCACAGAGCACTGATGTACTATTTCAAATCATTTTTTTTCTGTTCCAAAAGCCTTACTTTTTTATTTTGTCTATTTTGTTATAATCTCTGAACTCTGAACAATATCCATCTTGAAAACTGATTAAATTGGTGATACAACAATACTACTATTTGTTGGGCATCTACTGTGTACTAAGCATCTACTTTTCCCATATTATTATATTTACCTGCATAGCAACTTGAGTATAAGAATGATTGTCCTTGTATGAATGAGGAAACTTAGACTCAAGGCGATTCAGAGATACAGATAATAGGAGAAAGAGGTAAAGGGTCTGGGCTCTCTCCAGAATGCTCTACATATTAGTGAAGAACCTTTCTTTACAAGGGATAAGAACCCAAAATATTTGTTTAATGTGATCCTGTAGCTGAGAAGGATTCTAGGTTTCTCAAAGCATCCAATGCAGAACTTTAGGACTTAGGACTCAGTGCCACTGAGACTCTTACTCTTTGGAATTCTCTCATCTTTATTCCTCTCTGCCTGGCTTTGTCTATCTTGCTGCACATAGATCTTATTCATATAATGGAAGAGATTAAGTATAGAAAATGTTAATATCCATTACCTCATCTTAGAGTCCCAGGGAATCATTTGAAATTTCCTTTCCTATGCCTTTCATTTACTCTTTATTACAAGGGAGAGGAGGAGCTAGGTAGGGAATCCATCAACCCAATGAAATAGATGTTCAATAGACTAAAAACAACATTACGTCCATCTCAAGGTCCAATCCTTCATGTAACATAGGAGAAAGTTTAGATCCAGAGATTGGGCTTGCCTAAAATTATGCAGACAATGGATACCAGAACTCAAATCTCTTACTCCCATAATCCTGGGGTTTATGGCTTTGTCTTCTTCCTAATAAGAAGACTATAGTTAGAATTGGAGGTGTGGATATGCATGAAGATGATTTCGAGGAAAAATATTGTGAAAGAGTTCAATCTCCCTGTTAAAAGCCGAAGAGTCAGAAATGTATTAGATTTACACCATTTCTACATAATAAATAAAAGGCATATATACATATAGTTTTAAAATATTGAGCTAAGTATATTTGCTATGGTTGCTGTAACAAACTTTGTCACAAACTTTGGTGTTTAAAACAGGAATAGTCCTATGTGGATGGTATGACAGTGTGAGAAGTTCCATGCATCTACTCCCAGATACTGGTGAGAAAATTTTTTTAAGTCATTTAGGGTAGTGACAGCAGTAAAATGACAGACTACAAAGTCTCCAAACCCTCTCCAATGGAGACAACCAAATAACAACAATCTGTGGATTGTTTGAATGCCTTTGTAAGAATGCTAGAAACCAACTAAGAAGCAGCAGCAACCAGGCCAATGGAAAACCAGGAAAGGATTTCAATGAAAGTTATGGGAACTTTTGCAGAGTTTGTATACTTGTACACCACCCCCAACCTGGTGTAGTGGCACCATTAGGAGGAAATTTCCCATATCTGCTCCACCCTCAGAATGAAAATAGAACAGACCATGTGTCAAACAATCTGGATTGTCTGAGGGATGCCTGAGGGTATGGATTCTGTGTCTTCTCATTCAGAACACTAATAGGAACAGCAGAACAGTTTAGAAGTGACAGAGACCATTGAAGTGGCTCAGCTACAGACATTTTGCTGTTCCACAAGAAGACACCGGGGGAATAAGATTGTGATCTCCTGAGAAGAAGAAAGGCAAGCTGCTTAGAGAATTTGAGATAGCTAAAAAAAAAAAAACCCACAAAGACAGTATCTTCAACAAATGGTGTTGGGAAGACTGGACAGTGACATGCAGAAGAATGAAACTGGACCACTTTCTTACACCATACAGAAAAATTTTAAATGGTAGAAGGAACTAAATGTGAGACAGGAAACCATCAAAATCCTAAAGGAGAAAACAGGCAGCAACCTCTTTGTCCTCAGCTGCAGCAACTTCTTTCTAGACACGTCTCTGGAGGCAAGGGAAACAAAGGCAAAAATGAGCTATTGGGACCTTATTAAGATAAAAAGCTTCTGCACCGCAAAGGAAACAATTAACAAAACTAAAAGCAACCAATAGAATGGGAGAAGATATTTGCAAATGACATATCGGATAAAGGACTAGTATCCAGCATCTATAAAGAACTCATGAGAATCAACACTTAAAAAACAAATTATCCTTAAGAAATGGGCAGAGGACATAAACAGACATTTCTCCAAAGAAGACATACAAACAGCCAACAGACAAATTAAAAAATGCTCAACATCATTCATCATCAAGGAAATACAAATCAAAACCACAATGAGATACCACCTCACACCAGTCAGAATGGCTAAAACTAACTCAGGAAACAACATGTTGGCAAGGATGCCAAGACAGTTTGCACTCTTGGTGGGAATCCAAACTGTTACAGCCATTCTGGAAAAGTTAAGAGTTTCCTCAAAAAGTTAGAACTACCCCATGATCTAGCAGTTGCATTACTAGGTATTTATCCAAAGGATTAAAAATGCTTATCCAAAGGGGCACATGTACCCCCAAAGTTTATAGCAGCATTATCAATAATAGCCAAATTATGGAAAGAGCCCAAATGTCCACTGACTGATGAATGGATATAGAAGATGTGATTGATATATATTAGAATATTACCCAGCCATCAAAAAGATATCTTGCCATTTGTAATAACAGGGTGGAACTAGAGGGTTTTCTGCTAAGTGAAATCAGTAAGAGAAAGATAAGTATCATATAGTTTCACTTATATGTGGGATTTAAGAAACAAAGCAGAGAAACATAGGGGAAGGGAGGGGAAAATAAGATAAAAATATAGAGGGAAGCAAACCATAAGAAACTCTTAACTATAGAGCACAAACTGAGGGTGCTGAGTGGAAGTGGGTGGGAGGATGGACTAAATAGGTGGTGGGCATTTAGGAGGGCACTTGTTGAGATGAGCAGTGAGTGTTATATATAAGTCACGAATCATTAAATTTTACTCCTGAAGCTAATACTAAACTATTATTATTAGTTAACTAACTTGAATTTAAAATATTTTGTGTGCAACTGAAATTGAGTTGTTATCAGCTTAAAATGGACTGTTATAACTTTAGGGTTTTGCAATGGTAACCACAAAGAAAATACCTATAGATATAGACAAAGCAACATGAGAAAGGAATCAAAACATGTCACTACAAAAATATCAGTAAAAAACAAAAGAAGGCAGTAAGAGAGGAAAGAAAGAGTAAGAATGGTACAAGACATACAGGAAACAATTAACAAAATATCTACAGTAAATCCTTCCCCATTAGTAAATCTTTAAATGTAAATGGATTAAACTCCCCAACAAAAAGATATAGATTGGCTAAAATAGATTTTAAAAGGGGACACCTGGGTGGCTAAAGTCACTCGACTGAGTTGAACATCTGTCTGACTGTTGATCTCAGCTCGTCTTTTTTTTTATATAAATTAATTTTTATTGGTGTTCAATCTACCAACATACAGAATAACACCCAGTGCTCATCCCGTCAAGTGTACCCCTCAGTGCCCGTCACCCATTCACCCCCACCCCCCGCCCTCCTCCCCCTCCACCACCCCTAGTTCATTTCCCAGAGTTAGAAGTCTTTATGTTCTGTCTCCCTTTCTGATATTTCTCACACATTTCTCCTCCCTTCCCTTATATTCCCTTTCACTATTATTCATATTCCCCAAATGAATGAGAACATACACTGTTTGTCCTTCTCCGGTTACTGTGGCCAAGTTCAAAAAGGGTGTTGCCTGAGTTCTCCTCTGGGATTTTGATGGAATCTTGTCTCACATTTAGATCTTTCATCTATTTTGAGTTTATCTTTGTGTATGGTGCAAGAGAGTGGTCCAGTTTCATTCTTCTGCATGTGGATGTCCAATTTTCCCAGCACCATTTATTGAAGAGAGTGTCTTTCTTCCAGTGGATCGTCTTTCCTCCTTTATCGTATATTAGTTGAGCATAAAGTTCAGGGTCCACTTCTGGGTTCTCTGTTCTGTTCCATTGATCTATATGTCTGTTTTTGTGCCAGTACCACACTGTCTTGATGAACACAGCTTTGTAGTACAACCTGAAATCTGGCATTGTGATGCCCCCAGATATGGTTTTCTTTTTTAAAATTCCCCTGGCTGTTTGGGGTCTTTTCTGATTACACACAAATCTTAAAATAATTTTTTCTAAGTCTCTGAAGAAAGTCCATGGTATTTTGATAGGGATTGCTTTATACGTGTAAATTGCCCTGGGCAACATTGACATTTTCACAATATTAATTCTGCCAATCCATGAGCATGGAATATTTTTCCATCTCTTTGTGTCTTCCTCAATTTCTTTCAGAAGTGTTCTATAGT